ACACTTATTTTGTCTTTTTCACAAACCCTTAGCCTATTCATGGTATATTGTTGTAGACTGCACATCTTTTTATTTATATATTGCCCATACTGAGTGTACTTTGGCATGTGTGTGTCTGGCTAATCACAAAAGATTCAACAATACAAACTGACATGACACAGCTGGTCAAGACGTTCTGAATTTGTGGACAACTTTAACAATTCTTTTATAAAGTCAAAACCGCAATGTTGACTCCGATTTAAAGGAAAAACATGATTTGATTGATTAAATTTTAAACACGGATCTTCCTCGCTTCTGCTATCCGCTTCTCCACCATGTCCTGACAAAGTAGTGCACACGCTGCACACACTTAACGTGTCAAACAGACGAAGTACCCCCACACCGATCACACTGTCAATGACTCGCTCTGGGTCTCCTAAACGCTTTGCCAGGCCAAGTTGCAATGTTCCAGCCATGACCCAGACAGATAGACACACTGGTAAACTGACAGACACACATACAGACAGACAGACAAGAATCGTTTACAGGGTGATTGAAGTGTCTGGTGATGTTTGTCTTCGAGTCAGTGGGCGCCAAGAAGGGATACTGCTTTTCTCCCCCGCGTTTATGATAAACTTCGACCTGCATACTTGATCTCATCAGAGACTTGGACCGGGGAGACACCGGATCTCATCAGAGACTTGGACCGGGGAGACACCGGAAGCGGGTTTTTTTCCCCAGCTAACCGAAAGCCGTTTATTTATCAGGATGCTTCCACGGTCACATTTCGATTGTTCTCACTGCTACAACACAATCCAACTCGTGTGTGTAGTGTGGCGGTGAGGCGCTTCACCGTCGTGAAGAGGTAGATTCGTGTGTGGGAAGGGTATTTTATTTGAATATTGTCTGTCTAATTAGACATTCTAGGCATCTCAAGGATACAACGTAGGATCGAACTGAGCACCAAACCCCCTTAATTGAAATATTACGAGTGCGAGTCCAGTAACCCTATACAACTAACTAGACTATCGACGTCACAAAAACCCACGCGGGAGCAGTAACAACAGCCTATGTATGACATGGAGTAATCTTTTTCGAAGAGTATGGCCTCTAAGATGTCAATGGCTCGAGGATACCATGCATCCATTCTCAATTGCATCAAAAGTATGACGCCTGAAAGCACTCAAGGGCATGACTGCTGGACATGGATGTACTCTGGAACTAGACGTGGACCAGAAAGGATAAAAACAAACATCCGCCCCCTCCCTCCTCCAAAAACAATACATTTAATTAAATAAAACAATTGATCCTTGTTTACTTGACCTAGCCCAATACACCCGTCCTTAGTTTTCAATCCCCATGCACTGGTATGCAGCGATATTTTGGATCGCAGTGGCATCGTTCGTGAAAGTCACTTTTATCTTGTTTTAATTTTGATGGTGATATTAGTTGCCCAGTTTCCATTGATCTTTGCTCACAAACCTGTCTGAGAGGAGCAAGCAGCTTCTTTAGAACGTTAGTTGGTGTAATAAATATGGACAGCAATTTGCAGACTGTTGATTACATTAATTAGCTTTAACACTGAAATCAGTGAGTGGGTTGTTTCTGAAAAATAAAAAGACGGAGGGAACGGAACAGAAAAAAGGAAGAGCGAGAATGATAGAGAATAGAAGGAAGAGAGGGGAGAGCGAAAGAGAGAGAGAGAGAGAGAGAGAGAGAGAGAGAGAGAGAGAGAGAGAGAAGAGAGACAGAGAGACAGAGAGATAGGGAGAGACAGAGTGAGGGGGTGGGGCAGACAGAGAGATGTATATGTAGAGAGGGGGTGGGGGTGGGGGAGAGCTAAATAATGAGAAATTGAGACATTGAAAGAGAGCCAGAGGAAGAGAGATAGGTATCAAGAGAGAGAAAATAGAGGGAGAGGATAAAGAGAGAGACACACACAGAAAAAGACGGACAAAGGGGTATACTGACAGACACTCTATTGTTGTTTAATACATACACGGTAACTACCAGGTTACGAAATCAACATGGTTCGCTCCTATGTAATTTGTCTTTGTCCGTTTCGCTGTCTTTGTCCAGTACACTGTCTTTGCGCCTTGCCTGTATCGGTGTGTCAAGGGTTGCAATGACGTCATACACATTCCAGCCGTATTTAATCGTGCTGCATTCCTCACTAAAAAAATGGTCTATTTCTAATCTTTTATAAATTTAATTTCATTCCATTTTTGATCTCCTTAGAACAAGAGCATTCCACCTGTCCCCTCTACAGTAAAATACAACGGCCACCACCCATGCATTTTTATACCTCTTAGTTATCCCCGAAGCTGTGAATATGTCATGTCTACCCGTGAAAGTGTTTTGTGCAGCCATATTTTAAAGGACAGTTTTTTGTGACAGGGTTTGATTTTTCACTCCTAACTGGCCCCAAATCAGAACACTACATTAGACCCTAGCTCTTTGATCAAACTTGTTTTTGTCTCCTAAGAAGACAAGTATAAACATTACTTTTTCCTATTTCCAATAGTGCAAAAACTAATGGAATAAGGGTTTGATTTCATTTCTTGTTCTTTATAAATCACAGAAAATAAAACATCAGAGTCGCTTACGGTCGAGCTTTATCAACTGACTTCAGATTGTCTTGCTACTAGGGACAGCCCACCATGACATCGAAGAGGAACAAACTGCGTGAGAGAAAAACTAAGACGATTCAGAAAAGCTTGAAAAGACGTTTGTTGGGCAATAAAATGTGTCGACAGTTAACAGTAGAAACGATCTGTACAAGATGTCCAAGACGTTGTCCCCGTGTTGTAAATTACGGAAGTCGTTAAGCATACCACGGGTTGGGTGTTGGCCAAGTCCTGCTGATAAAGAAGTTTATTTATGGTCACAAAGAGGGAGGCACGCGTGGTTTTCAGCAATATTATCACAGAAGTGGGGCAAACAACAGAGACTATGATAACAGCGAAAACTTTGTCACTCTTTGCATTTTTGTTTTACTTGACAAAAACAACATTAACATGCTTACATTTGTGTGCTGGGAGCGATGTTAAAGACTAAAGTAAGCATTTTTGTGAGTAAATTCTGTACTTTCGAGAGCGATGTCAACATCCCATTTTATTTTTAGACATGTGTTTGCATTATCCGTATGATGCAATACGGCATATTTGTGAAACAGTGTAACAATGTGTTTGAACCTCCTGTCCTAGTACCTTTGCTGTGGTTGTATCTCACAACAGAAGAAAGAACACATGAAAACTAGTGACAGAGGCTAACCAATGGCTGTTTTCAGCACTATCTGACAGTGTAACCTTTTGGAGCCGCCCACGTGAGTTCATATTTGCAGCTAAGTTGGATTGAAGAGGGTATATAAAACTCACTGGCATCCGGCGTCACTGGAGGTGCAAAACAAAGTTAATAAAAGCCTCAGTTATTGTGTTGTAGCACCTTACGGCAGCGGGATGCGTCAGGGAATACCCAACGTCAGCTTTGTCAACGGATGGGCTTCTTTTGATAGCGGAAAGCTAAGTCAGAAGAACTTGTTTTTTCCCGAGTCAATCTGGAATTCCCGTTCTGTGGAATGACAACTGTGTGTTTGTGCATTGTCGTAAGTATATCCGTTGCGAGTTCCGGCTGATTGCCTTAGGGTAACCTTCATCTGTGGGTCGTAGGCCTTTCTACCTGACGTTCATATAATATTATTACGGGTGGTTGGGGAGATATAGCGAGGAGTTCTTCAAAATAACCAAACAATTCATATCAAGAAAACATGACTTTTCTACTTTCGTACCGTGGTTCTAGATTTTGAATCCTTAACCCAGTACATCAATCCCTGTTCGTCTTATGCTTTTTCTTTGACACTGCCATACGTTCTGATGAAGGTCAACAACCGATAACAAACGTGTAGACACCAACGAAAATCGTTTTAACCGGGTCAGCTCTTTGAGATGTTGGTTTTGTGAACAAAAATAAAGGGACCCACCAACTTTTACATGCAAATGTGTAGGAGTACGAAAAGGGGGAGGAGGTAGAAGGTTATCTAGGTTTTATCTCTATCGATATCGTATGGTGATATAGGTGATGAAATTTCGTCCAAGGGAAACGCACCCTTTTCTAACTCATGGCATAGTGTACTTACAACATCTTCGTTTTATAAAGTGATTGCCTCAGGGTAACGTCCATCTGTAGATCGTAGTCCTTTCTACCTTACGTTCATATTATGGGTTGTTGAAGAGTTCTTCAAGGTAACCAAGTGCTTCATAGCAAGAAAACAAGACTTTTCCGTTTCCGTACTGTGGTTCTAAATGTTGAATTCTTAACCCAGTCCTGTACAACCCCTGTTGCTGTTACGCTTCTCATTCCACTTTGCCTGGCGTTCTAAATCTGATGTAGGTGAGAAGCTGATTCGTGTGTATCTTGATCGACAGTACTAAGTTATTGAGACTCGACCCCCCCCCCCCCTAAAAAAAAAAAAAAAAAAAAAAAAAAAAAAAAATTTTTTAAACCTCTCCAGCCCCCACGCTGACACAATTGTCTCCCCTTGACGTAAAAAGGGGGGGGGGGAGATTTCAAGGGCAAATAATAACACAAAGTCATGAAGTAAAATGGAGACGGCACACTGGAATTACAAGGTACTTGCTACTGTCTCTTAGAAGAAAAGATATCAATGCTGTTTATTTCGCTGTAGAGACAGTGACTGACTTTTTTGTCCCATGTCAATCCACTGGTGAAGGCGGTGTTGCGTTAATCACTTCGCCTTCGGATGTAGAAGACCTGTGATCGTTTTCCCGAGTTGGAATAATTTTTATCGAGTATCACGGTCTTTCTGTTGAGGCGTTGTACTCCTCTCAGCCCAGAGTTTGATCCTGACAGGTAAGTTTGAAGCCCATTTCCTAAATGACTTACAGTATTGTCAAAGAGGAATTTTAAAAAACTGTCACATTTAGACAAAACTCCAAGCCATTTGAAATGTTCACTGTTCTCTAGTATCGAAACTGTATTTCTATTTTCTTGTTTTATTTCAGGCTGCTTTTGGAATCCTAGACAAGGTGTCTGTCCTTCCCGCCTTCAGTATTAGCCACGGGTTATCGGACGCCATTTCCTAGAGGAGCTACGATCAAGACAGCACTCGTTGACCTCACAGAAATACGCGTGGGTGGATGATAGCTTACGTCATCAGGACAAAAGTGTATGCACATCTATAGCGCGGTGACATAATTTAATGAACGAAGTTGATCAGTAATCAAGCACACCATAAGTAGACAGCTTGATAGTATCGTTTATCGTAGAGAATATCCTTCAACTTCAACCCAGAGAGTGTGTCTGCACACACTGTTTTTCAAACGCATCAATAGAGTTCTATACTCATCAAAGGTGTCTCACGAAAGAAACTCTGCTTGCAATCAGCTGTCAATGCGTGTGTAGTTTTTCGTAGGCTAACAGAGAGTGTGTCTTCCAATGATCAAGAGAAAATGATGGCGGATTAGCACCTCAAGGAGCCAGAGTGACCAACCACCAGCAGCGCATGCGCAGCCCTGAGTAGGGGGCTTGCACGATCTATTTTGTCGGAAATTCATGAGGTTTCCTGAATTGTGCTTAGTCACAGTTTGGATTGTACGCGACGACAAGCGACTGGAAGTGGGAGTGGCGGAGTAACAAGGTCAAGGTGAGTGGGGGATGATTCATTAATTAATTTCATAAATTAAGTCATTTCACTTTAGCTTTGAAAACACTCCGTTCTCTCTGTCTAATTGTTCAAAATGTTGCCAAAATTAATGTTGGCGGTGATTAGGACGTGATGCGCCTTTTCCATTTCTCACTGTCAATTAAGTTATGTCAGCGTTCTTGATTCTCACATTAAATGCGATCCCCCCTC